GTGTATCGCTTCTAACAAATCTGTCTATAACTGATATACCTACTCCTGCAACTATATCACAGATGGGACGAGAAACGGGCATTCTGGCCGAACTACAAGTTGCAGAGACAATTATCAATTCTGAAGGTGTTACTATCGCGTTTGATGCAACTACTTTAAATGGCATTTATATTAATGAAATACACATCGTCTCACAAAAGACTGCTTTAACAGCAAGCATTACAGCCCTTCCTGGAGGTCGTGCAAACGACTATGTTCAGCACATTCTCGATACAGTTAAAGATATTGCAGCAACCTATTCAGCATTCAACGGTGTTAGCCCTGCAGAGACAAAGCAGAAAATATATGGAAGCATTCTCTGCACTTTGACTGACCGTACATCGGTAAATCATGCTGCAATCATTAAACTTAATGATGTTTTGGACCGGCAGTTGCTGGAGCTGCACTGCCAACTGCACCCACTTGATGGCATTGCTAATGAGGTAAGAAAAGAACTCAAAAAGTTTAACTTGTCCATTGCTAGTACAACCTTTGGGCGTGACTGTCGTGTAGCTAACCTTCTGCACAGCATTTCAAAGTTACGGTAAAGTACGGTTAAGTTCTTACAAATTCGTACATTTTAAAATAATTTTTGTACTTTAAAAAAATATATACATTAAATGCTTGATGTTTTAAAAAAAGCTTCAAATATAAAAATTTATATGCATATATCTTCAGATACAAAGAGAAAGGAGATCCATCTTGCTTCAAGCTCTTCTTGAAGGGTCACAAACTGTCCTGTGGGATTTTTCCTCGCTATATTGGAAATAGACTTCATACCATTTTCCATATGGCTGGGGTTGTATTTTTGTATAGAAATTTGTTAATAAACTATCTTGAGAAGTCCTGCAATAATCAAATATTACTTAGGACTTCTGTATTAGGAGATTTAAAAAATCCCTCAGTTTGCATCCACTTGCAAGCACTTGGTCTCTTAAGAAAACTTTTGACTGGACCGTGAATGGCCATTTTCTATTCAGAGGAAACCAAGCGGAATCATTTTGACATGGTATTGTAATATATATATATATATATATATATATATATATATATATATATATATATATATATATGTATATATATATATATATATACCGTATATATAAGCATGACTTTTTACAATTTTTTTATTACATTTCAAATAGTTATTTTATATTATTATTTTTATATTTATTGTAGTTTATTGACTTTCCATATTTTTTCAGGTTGCTTATCTCAAAGTTGCTTTGGATTTTGTGAAACGTGCTGAGAGGGAACCAAATCTTTTCCTCCTAACTCAGTCGGATGCATTTGGTCGCCCTTTGCTGGAAGAAATCACGCTTAAATCGCTACGTGTAACGAATTGCAGCATGTTAGATAACCTCAATATATGCATTGAACTTTTGTCTAGGTCATCCTTAGGAGACATGTCTCGCCAGTTTTCACGCTATTTAACTGGTCCTTTGGCCAATCCATCAAATGAATTAAAGATGCAAGCTACAAGCGCACCCCTTCATAATATATGGGCAGAGAGAACGCTTGGCAAAGTAGATTCTTTAGTTAAAAGAGCACCAAATGCAGAGATAACTTTTTTTGAAAACGTCTGTAAAGTTAAGGCTAATCTCTCTGTGGATTGGCTTCCACAGAGAAAAAGAAGACAGAGAAAAAGTAGTCTCTTTTTGCATTAAAAGGGGTGTTCATGCAAGACAAACTGGCAAAGAAAGGCACATCAGAAATGAAAAGGTCTTGATTGAACGGATAAAAGAAAAAGGGCAGAAAAGAGACATAAAAGGCAGAAATAAACTAGGCAAGTAAATAAAACAGGGTTTAATGGAAGGCACGACGGCGGATGATAAACTTTTTGATTCTGTAACTGGACACCAACGAGACATGCTACACAAATTCTTTGAAGAAAATCCCTTGAAGGCATGGAGATTGAGCATGTCTGGAATGTGTCTAATTCTGATGTTTTGTCTTATCTGTGTCTAATTCTGATGTTTTATCTTTTTGCATTAATTTGATAATTACATTAAAAAAAAATTACAAATTGTTTTTTTCAAATAACCCCTCATTCTAGCAAAGGGGAGGAAGGGGAGATTGACAAAAAAACAACAACATGAAAAATGTATTTTTTGAAATAAATAATGACCTAATAAAATAGTAGCTTGTGTTAAATAAACATTTTATGTTAAATTCAAAATAACAAGTCAACAAAAAACCAAATCTCCCAAAACCATGTCTGTCAAGATAATATTTAAATTTAGTTTAAAATCCTCTGCATCTTCCTCAAGTTCATTTGTTTTCCAATAAGCTACGAGAAAAATAATTAACTTATCTGAGGTATTCTTTGGACAAGACACTTTCAGAATTTTACCTCTTTTTTTTTTTTTTTGTATGTATTTAGGTGCTCCCAGAAGTCCTTATGGTCTTATCATAAAGCACCGCGGGAGAGCATTTAATAGGAAGTTCACGCCTCCTTCCGTACCAATGTCGCTTGTTGGGCTGGAGCTGGAGTCGAACCTCGGACCTCTGGGTTCTGAGCCAGAACTCTAACCACTGCGCCACGGCTGCTAAACAAAAACGGCTGCTAAACAAAACATCAGAATTAGACACATTCCAGACATGCTCAATCTCCATGCCTTCAAGGGATTTTCTTCAAAGAATTTGTGTAGGATGTCTCGTTGGTGTCCAGTTACAGAATCAAAAAGTTTATCATCCGCCGTCGTGCTTTCCTGTTTTATTTCCTTGCCTAGTTTATTGGGTTATTTGAAAAAAACAATTTGTAATTTTTTTCAACCCTCCCTGTCTGTCATATGTGATTCCTCCCCCCCCTGGCTCACTTTGCCTTGCTATATGATATTTTATGAATAAAGTATAGGTAAAAGACCGTAATTTATTAAAAACGGATTTTTTCCGTAACAAAACAACGGAAAAAGTCTGATAAATACTACGGAGTTTTTTTACAGTGTAGGTAGTCTTCAAACCAAAGTAAAAATTTATTCTTTATTCCATATAGTTCTAGTTTTTTATAAGTATCTTATGGTTATGGAATTAAGTCATCAATAAATGAGGCTGTACATCTTAAAGTGGTCCTTAAAGCTTCTGATGTTTGTTTACTTAATGTAAACTTTTGAGAGTTAGAAACTCGAGATAATTGCCAATTTTCAATCCATTCGGCTAAAGTCATCAAAAATAAAGGTTTTATGTCACCAAAAACAATGCCTTTTAAATACAAAAATTGTTATTGTATTTTTGCTTACATTTGCTTTGTATTTTTGAGGACCTTTTTTTTTTTTAAGAAGCCAGTTGGTAATTTGTTTTCACTACCCCCCCCCCCCCCTCCCTCTTCATTTTGTTTATAGAATCGCCTGTGCACGAAGGTCATTACGCCTTTATACAAAATTTCTTTATCTACTCCTATCATTCTACCACCTTGATATTGTGCTTCTTTCTGAAAATTTATTTCATCTATCATTAGCTAAAGATCTTTATCAATTTTATCTTGGTTTATTAAACATTTCAAAGATTTTAATGTTACTACCCCACCTTTATTAATCTTTTTCAAAATGCTAAATGATGGTAGAGGAAACTGTTTTAATAGGAGTTTATAAACCTGGGTTGATGCATATAAAAGAATAAGGAAAAATCGTAGAAGATTTGATGGAAACTTTGGCTGATTAACTGGTTTTTAGTGTTTTATTTCATTGAGTTTATTTAATTTACTTAATAAACTAAACAAACTATTTTCTTCAACGTAATTTTTTATATAGGTTTGAAAATTCTCTAATACACTTTTTTTTTCTAACTCAAAGCCAATATTTCAAAACCATCGGAGGTAATAGAGCATAAGATGATTTAGAGAACAATCAAACATGCCTAAATTCATCAACTACAAGTCTCTGTAACTTTTAAAATACCTAAGTGTTGATTAATTTTTAATTAAAAAAAATATTAATTTGTCATTATATATTTTGAGCTAATACTTCTCAAGGTTAACATTATAAACTATTTAAACAGTGAACTTTACCCTGTTAAAATGAGTCAGGATTATTTTCCGGAAACCTAAAAAGTGGATGCTTTTCAAATTTAAAATAAATTTGATTCTCTCTGATTATATATAGTTTTACATAAACTACAGTACATGTATTACCCATATTATGAATATTTAAATAAACAATTTTAAAAGATGTTTAAGAAAGCCCAAAAATTTCGAATTTTCTAACCCTTCTAACTTTTTGTTCCGAAAAACAAGATATCCGGCAGTGTAAACATAATAGGCCATGTTTTACCAATTATTAAAGATCTTCAGGCTAATAATTGTGCGGCCGTGGCGCAGTGGTTAGAGCGTTTGCTTGACAAGCAGGAGATCCAGGTTCGAAACGAGCTTTGAACATATTTCTGTGACAAGACCGTTAGAACTTCTTAGGGCGCCTAAATAACAAATTAAAAAAAAAAAAAATTAAACATTCTCTTAGTTAAATATTTGCATGAACATGCCAATGAAGCATTAAAATCATTAAATGGTCTCATGTGCCTTACTAAATGCCTTATTAAAAACTCATTAAATGGTCTTATGTGCCATTTGTTAATAAATTTACATGGGAACAATTTAGGTGTGCTAAATTACAATTATTTAAATAGTGTTTTAGAAGTTTGTAATTTTGGTTTAAATGGAAAGGTTACATTAGCTACAAGTAAAATTGACAAAACCAGAATTTGAAATATGAAAATATAAAAAACCATAATTTGAAATATGAAAATATAAAAAATCAAAGAATAGAGCTAAAATGCAGAAAAAACAACAACAATAACAAAAAAACAATAGAATTTCGAAATATTCGTGAACGTTAATGAGTGCATCGCCCATGGCTAATATACTCTTGCTTATTGTCATGTTTAGGTTAAAACCAACTATAAAGCTAGGGAGCTAACGTACTGTTTAATAAAAAACAAGCAGTCAAGTAAAAAAAAAAATAAAAAAATAGTTTATTGGTATAATTTTTATAAATAACAAGTAGTCAAGTAAAAAACAGTTTACGTATTTTTTTATAAATCTAATATGTTAATAAAGTTTTATTTTAAAAAATATCGACAAATACATATATTGATTTCAAATTTAAAAAAAAAATAAAAAAATGACAAAAAGGAGTAAAAACTTGATCAGATGTAGGTTTTTGACATTAAACAAAGGATTTAAATGAAAAAAAAAATGTCTTACTCAGAAAATTACAAAAAAAAAAAAAAAAAAAAATGTTCCTTAAAAATTTAATTACAATCCTAATTTAAAGACTGATCTAATCTTTGCACTACTGCTGCAACCAGAGCGGCTCCTTTACCACTTCCATCTTCAGCCAATACCAGTTTTACGGTTACAGTAGGTAGCAACATGCGCAACGCGTCATACATAAACATCTTATATGTAGGATGATTTTTAAACAGACTCCCGTCAATTGCCACGGATACTCTTTTTTTCCCCATTCGCTAGTGAATAAGTAGTGAAAAAAAAATGTATAAAGTTGAAAAGATCAAGAAAATGATAAATCATCAGACAAAGAAAGTAATTGCTTTGCCTGAATATTATGATTAATCTAATTATATATATAGACTACTGTACCATAATTATTCGAATGGCATTAACTTTTTTTTAAAATGATATTTTTTCTTTAACTATTTATTATGTTTATTTTTGCACTATTAGATATTTAAAAGTATTTTGGTTAAAATGCTTTGATAAAAATTACAAGAATAATAAAAATGCTAAAGTGGGCAAAACTTCATAAAAAATGGATCATCAATGACTGTAAATGCGGATCGATGTGTCAAAGTTTTAAATCTTTTGTAAGAAATAATAAGATTGTCAGGAAAAAAATAAGATTGTCAGGAAATAGAAATCGTTGAATTTATGATAAAATAAGGTGTATTATTGACTGTAAAACATGGTGGATGTAGTGTTAAGGTGTTTTGGTTAGAATGCCACTGGTGACTTTTTGAAAATAGAGGGAGTATTGACAAAATTTGTTTACTTAAAAGATTGTTTAAAATTTGTACACTTAAAAGATCATGATACACGTTTGGAAAGAATAAGAGGCTATTCATTTTTTCAAAAGAAAATGACTTAAAGCTTAAATTTAAAACATATTTTTCGAAAACTTGTTTAAGTTATTTGACTGAGTTCGAGAACGATCAAATATTAAATAAAATAATTTAGCCTCCCCAATCACATTGGTGGAATTAAAAGTAATGTCAAAAACTAATGCCAAATGATGCATAAGATGTGGACAAAACATATTAGTTAGTGGCATAAAATAAACTTCGACAAATTTGATAAGTTGTTAAGTAGAATTCTAAGAATATGTATTGCGATTATTGTCGCTAAGAGTGATTAAAAGGCAAGTAAATTATAAATTAATCTTATCGGGCTTTTATAATTTTTTTATAAACCTAATAAAAAAGAAAATAACATATAATTCATGAAGACTTTGCTTACAGCTTCTGTCCCAATAATAAGTAAAACTACGATATCTTATTTCGAAAAGTACGACCATTCGAATAATTATGGACGGTAGTGCATATATATATATATACATATATATCTTATACTGCTGAGTTAGGTGAGCATGATGATGTCATACTGAAATAGCCTGCTGCCGGGGGCTTCAGTACATACATCGACTGACAAATAGCCTGACTCGCAGTGGAGTGCTGCTACATCAACTAAGGGTTTGGTATGGGTCAGCAACCTTTTCATTCATTATTCTTCGTTTTCCCTCATCGTTTTCTAAAAAATCTCACTTAATTTAGGCTAGCAAAAAAAGTGAGCAATTGCACATATAAATATGCTATAGTGTATATATATATATATATATATATATATATATATATATATATATATATATATATATATATATATATATATATATATATACATATATATATATATATATATACATATATATATATATATATATATATATATATATATATATATATATATATATATATATATATATATATATATACATATATAATATTTAAAACTAATAAAATAAAAATGATACCCGAATAAGAGCTGCAAGACCTGCCGATGTCAACGTTGCCGATCTTCTTGAAATCGCAAAGCATAAATCTTGAATAATTAAGATTTCTTCTACTAAAGCATCTTTATAACCAAGATTGGAAAGAATAGCAATTGCTTCACTTGCGACACCTCTTAAAATTTAAACTAACATCAATTATACAACATATAAATTATACGGCACTTGATGGTAAGTACTGAAGTATCCGGGATATAAGGGAGAGATCTCTCTCTTTAAAAAATCATGGATAAATCGCGTACATGTGAAAGAGGTAGGGGATATATGAAAAGAATGAGAATGTATATAATTTGGGGAAAAGGTAGTCTATAAAAAAATTTAAAATTAAAAAAATAAAAATAAAAACTATATAGTAGTTTTTATTGAAATAATTGATTATTTTTCTTTGAATAACAAATAAAAAAGGATTAACAAATAAAAATAAAAACTATATTATACTTAAGACTTCAACTCCACACAAAAAACAAACAAAAAAAACTCTTTAAAGTAAAGTATACTTAAGACTTATCTCCATTATTGCTATACCACAATAGTCCGTGAAATGTTAACTATAAACCAGTAAAATGCAAACACTTTTGCTAACCGTTTAAATATTTTTAGCAAACCAAAAATATATTAATACTTTAAAAATATATAGATTTATTTAATAATACTATTAGACATAAATTATTATAAACTATTCATATTATTAGACATAAATTAAAATATAAATACTATAGAGGTGAAGTAAATTAAATGTACATACATCAACTGAGGGATTTGGCCATTACTTATTTATGTTCATTACTTAATTATGTTCAGTAGATAAATTTTAATAAATAAATATATATTTTTGCAGTGTAACTTGCGATTATGAATCCAAAAAAATAATATTTAAAATTGTGTAAATGTATTAATCAAGAAGGATCTTCTTGCTTTATACATTACACAGGGACGTCTTCTATAAGGATCATCCTTAAAGAAGATGTCCCTGTAGCAGTTACCAAACGGTTGCCAAGTTTGATTTTGAAAATATTTACTGATTTAGAATTGATAATTTTAAATGGTAAAGTTTTCAATCATGGACTATTCTGTTATTGCGACGTTTCAAGCAAAAAGAATAAAGCTTTAGTTAAGGAAATTTGGCTTAACGGGTGAAAGTTGATATGTATTATCAAGTCAACAAAAGAAAATCAGCAACAGAATAGAGACATACATAAAGCTGAACTTGATAGTAATACATAACTTTTTTAATAACAACATCTTTATTTATCTTAGACTGCAAAACCATTTTGATATTTATATGGACATTTGATTTCTTTGAAATTCTATTTTGGTGACAACTTTATGCAATCAGTCTGGAGAAGCTCCGATGAAGAGGGTAGAGGTAGAGGGTAGGCTCCAATGAAATGGGTTTTTTCACATAATATTTAAAATTTGGCAGTTTATATGACTAATTATAATTTTTTCAATAAAACATTTTCCAAAATCAGTTAAAATAAAAAATAAATAAAGTTTTAAACTTCTCCAGTAAAAAAAATGTGCTGTAGATACGCGGTATTATAAAATGCTAGTTAGGCGGTTTTGCACTATCCCCGACGATATATATGTATGTATATATATATATACATATATATATATATATATATATATATATATATATATATATATATATATATATATATATATATATATATATATATATATATACACCATTTTTATTTTATCAAAAATATCACGAAAGAAAAAAATGATAAAGCATTATCAAAACATAATATTGAAACTTTATAAGATAGATAATTTATTACTATTCCACAATCAACACCTTTACTCTATAAATATTTTTCTACCGCTTACTAAAAAATATTGAAGTAAGGAATAGGTATAGAAATGGTAGGTGCGGAATAGACTTACCAAGACTTGTATTTAACGGGTTCAGAAAGCTAGTCACTTATTTAATCATTACATATACTTTGTAATAACAGTAACAACACTATTATTATATTATTAGTGTTATTACTTTAATAGTGCACTTAGTTACTAGAGTGTTATTACTTTGTAGTCTTAAGTTTATTGTTTTATTTTTTTAACTTTTTCGCTATCAAATTTAAGTTGATTCACCCCTTGAAAACAAATAACATGGTTTTGCATAAACTAAAATTTTGAAGATATTTTTCCAGATTTTGCATTTTGCCATTGCTTAATTCAACCCTTGTTATTACATTAAAATTATACAAATAAATTATTTTATAAACACATTACAATTTATATTTTTATTTTCCTCATTAAAAAAAAAAATTATATAAAAGAAAATCATTCTTTTTTTTAAAATGAAAACTGACTTAAAACTGTTGTTTTTTTTTTGATTTGCATTATCTAATTTTGTTGCTGAAAATAATAACCACTCTAAAGAAACAAAAATAAAAACAGTATACAAATTATTTTAACTAATAATTACTTTTTAATTTTTTTATTTAAATTTCTTTTTATTTCCTATATTGTTAGTGTTGTTTTTTTTGTTTTTAAAACTTTTTCCGTAATAATTTATACTATAAAACTTGCAAACGGCCGTGACCAAGTTGTCAAAATAAAATACTAGCGTGTAGTCATACAAGATGAAAAACTGCACGAGTTTCCTGGGAAGGCTTGCATATCATTTATAGATCCTTCTTAGCTAATTTACTAAGCAATCAATAATGACCTAATTTATAAATAAGTTATTAATGCTTAGTTAATCAGCTCAGTAATTATCTTACTTTCTTAATAAATATTTACCCACAAAAAACAGAAACATCTTCTGAAGATATTGCATCCATATTCTGAATCTCTTTTGATAAAACTCCGTGAAACAAAATACATTTTTGAATTAGTTCTAAAACGCATAACCTCACAAGTTCTCCGAGATACATGCCAGATATCATCTTTTCAAAACTAAAAGCAAAAAAAATTGAAATGTTTGCTTGCAATTATTGCAGTAAACTTGTGAAATTATTTCAACAATTTTTTGAATTGTTGTCATGATTTCTTGCAGAAAAAAGGTAAAACACAAATAAACAAATAATTATTTTAATAAAAATAATAATAAAAATAAAACAGAAGTATAACTAATGATAAAATTATTTAAAAAAATAAATTACTAACATCTGTTGTCCAGGATGAATGGATTTCTCATCCACCATTAAATCAAACTTAGTCGCAACAAATGCTAGTTGATCTCTTTCACCAAATGCCCCCCATTCCATATTAACAATAAACTAAAAAGAAAGTCAAAATAAATAAAACAAAATAAATATTAGTTTTAATAAAAAATTGTAAAAAATTGCAACCCTATTTTTGATACATTAATTTATATAGTGTTTTCTGGAAAAGAAAAAAACGAAGAATAATGAAAAAAAAGATTGCTGTCACTCTATAAGATGATGCATGTACTGACATTAGAGTGTTTATCTAAACACGCATTCATATATATATATATATATATATATATATATATATATATATATATATATATATATATATATATATATATATATATATATATATATATATATATATATATATATATATATATATATATATATATATATATATATATATATATATATATATCAGGGGCTATTCTAGACTGTTTTCGATAGCGTCGACCGTATTTGGGTGCCGCCCAAATAAAAATTTGAGGACCTTGATGTTTTTTACGGCAAATATTGTTTTTTTAGCAACAAAAAAAAGCTGATTTTCAGCTAAAGTTTGCCAGAACGAGGGGGTACTGCCGCCCAGATTTTTTTCTTAGAACAGGCTCTGTGTATATATATATATATATATATATATATATATATATATATATATATATATATATATATATATATATATATATATATATATATATATATATATATGTGTTTCCTCCGTTTAGCCAGTGCTTTTCGTTTTCAAGTCAATTTTGCACACACCTGCATGCCTACAAAAAACTTTGGCGAGCGCATAAGAAAGCGCTTTGTTTTGAATTGTAACAAAACCTTTTTTTTTCATTTGTTCAACTTTTATGAAAAATGGCTTTTTTTTAACAGTTTTTTTAAAATTATTACATCTAGTATTTATTCAAAGTATTCTTTTAGCTATTTTTATTTTAATTTAAAAAAGGGAAAAAAATGAATTTTTAAAACTGTGCAGACTAACTTTTTTGTGCACTGGCACTAAATTTTAAATGGAGAAGACTGATTGAACAGAGAAGCAAATTGAGAAAGAAGTAACAAGTTTATTGCAAAAGAAATTAAATTTTCCACACATATCAGTTCAAGTCCTACAGGCAAAATTGGATAAAGGCAGAATATCAAGAGTCTGAAAATTTAGAAGAACAGTCAACAAGTACAAGCAAGAGCTACAGCAAAACCAAAACTGCAACCAAATTAGTAACATCTTCACAGTTATCAACCAGCAAAGTAGCAACCATTGTTCTACAGCTATATCAAGATGGGATCGACATCCAGACACCTTCACAATCTGGTATATTCAGATCAACTATTAAAAAAGCCATTAAACTTAAAGAAGAAATAAAGAAAACGCTACATTTAGAAAGCACTTTGATGATAAACGTATTAGTCACCAATAAATACTAGTCACCAATAAATCAAGTGTTAGTGTTAAAGAATAAAACAAAAAGAAGTCACAAGCACTGGAACTACCACATGGAGAAGGAGATACTGTTGTTAAAGATATAACAGCTATTCTTAATGAATACAATTTATGGAAGAGTATAAAGATTATTGTAGGGAACATTTTAAATGCAGGAAGGATTAAGATTGTCAGTCAGTTATAAAGGCGTTTTACTGAAAAGAAACTGGAAGAGCAACAATATATATATATATATATATATATATATATATATATATATATATATATATATATATATATATATATATATATATATATATATATATATATTTATATATATACACACACAGTGGTGTAGAAATGTTTGAAATAACCGACTTATAAAAAAGAATATTCCAAATGTATCTACATATGCTATAGTAGATAACAACACTCGATTTATTACAAACGTAACTCAGAATTTCACGCAAATTAGGATTCATCAGATGGTACAAATCTTAAAAACTTAACAACAAAAAAATATATATTGAAAATATTGTGGTGTAGTGGTGGATAAACCCTGTAAATTCTGTCAAAATCTGCAAGTGACAGGGTAAAAAAATTAATTAAGAATATTTCTTATATAACTTACTGATTACATTTACTGATGAATTTAGTAAACGCTTTTCAGACTTAACAAGTAAAGTTTCTTTAAAAAATGTAAAATAAAACTTAAAATCATCAGGGAAAACAATGATAAGCAAGAACTGCAAATTTTTAAGAAACCATGCAATTTAATTTGTTCTTGCTAATGTAAAGATGCAATCTGACTTATTAAAAAAACAAACGAAGTAATGTATTATGATGCTGCAAATTTAGCCTATTCGATTGGTTAAAACTATACTTCGCAGTATCAGGATATAATAGAATTTTTGTCAACAAAGCAGCTTTTTAACTCTTGTTCATATTTTTAGACACGACAATATTATAATAGTATTATACTATATTTTAATATGATAAAAAAAATATTTTACCAAAATTTTACAAAAAATGTAAGAGAAAAGATGAAGTTTATAGGGCAAGATAACAATTGATAGATGACTTAAAAGATTGCAAATTATATGAAAGAGGAAAGCAAGATGAAGGAAGCGAATAAACTGATGTTTGAGGAAAAAACTAGATGAATAAGAGTTTTTGGAGCACTTAGGAACAGTCACAGTAAAAAGATAAGACTTAATTGAGTAACAAGTAACTCAAGAATGAATTTTAGTAGGTGGCGAGAGAAATGCTAGCTCTTTCGAGCAGCGCCCATTATAGTATTTGTAGAGAAGAGAAAGAGAAGCAACATTATGACAATGTGATAGGTCTAACTATGTTAACAATGCATTTTTGCACCTTGTCTAAAAGAGAAAGAGCATCACTAGAAGATCTGCCCCAGATATGGCAACAGTATTCCATACAAGGCCGGACTTGAGATTTATAGAGATAGAGAATAGAATCCGGAGTAAGAAAGTATCAAGCTCGATAAAGAGATGCAACCTTAGCAAATGCTAATTTTGCAACGGATTTGATATATGGTTTCCAAAAATGATTGGATGTAAAAGTTAATCCTAGAAGATAAAGGCTAGATGACTCATCAAGTACATTACTGTTCGTAAAAAAGAAAGTTCTAAATTATTGCAATAACAATTGGCTGAAAGAAATTGGGTTTTATCTGAATTCAACAGCCACTGTGAGCCCCATGCTGTAGCAGAAATGAGATCCTTTTCAAGCTCAAATGTGTCCTCCAAGCAATTTGAGAGTGTTGGCTTTTTATGAAGAGAAGAATGAATGGTAGTACCATCAGCGAACAATGCCACCTTAGATGTGAGAATATCTGCAAGATTGTTAATGTAAATTAAAAAGTATAGGGCCAAAGATAGAACCTTGAGGAACCCCTGAAGTTACAGGATATAAAGAAGAGTGCTGTCCATCGAGGACAACTTTTATACTACGATTGGTAAGGAAGGATTCAATAATCTTAAAGATGTTTCCTGATACATCATAAGAAGAAAGTTTATGGAGAAGACAAGTATGCCAAACTTTATCAAAAGCTTTATAGATGTCAAGAGCAACAGCTTTAACCTCTCCACCTCTAATGCACAATAAAAGCTATAGAATAATAAACCTATAGAAAAACCAGCTGTAGAACGAGAAGATCAAAATCCATATTGATGATCAGAAAGTATGTCATTAGATTCAAAATGAGGGATTAAGTGTTTATTAATTAAAGACTCAAAAATCTTGCAGGCTGGAAAACAATACTTCAATAAGCACTTGTTAAATAGTTTTAAAAGTATAGATGACAGCTCCGAAGAGCACTTCTGCAAGACCCAATTTAGATACAGAAGCTGGAGTGATACGAATGTCAAGCAATGGATCAACCTGTTTATCCGCTATGTCAGGTAGAACGCAACTAGTGGAATCAAGAGATGATATTGATGAGAAGTTCTTAGCAAACAATTCAGCTTTGTCTTTAGGTGAGGTGACAAAATCTGAACCATACAAGAGAAGTGGAATAGCAGATATGCCCTTACTATTGATACTGTTAAAAATTCTCCAGAAGTCACAAGAGCCTAATTTTTTAGACAAAATACAAGACTCTATGGCCTAAGAACAGCAGGGTTTGGCACTAGACAAAACCATTTTACAATGGACTCTAGCAATAGTAAATAGACGTCTGTTTTCTGGAGAATTGTTTTGCTGACAGATATAGAAGTGACGGTTTTGATTTTTCGATTTTTAAATTGCAGCAGCACAATGTGAGGAAAACCATGGAGAAGAGCGAGGCTTGACTTGAAATCATCGAGAGGGAATAAAAGATTCCATGCTAGCCTGAATCCAAGAAGTTATGTAAGAAGCACATTTTTCAGCACGAAGACGAATGGTTTCTATCCAAGGACCATCACAAAGAAAATCACGGAAAGAATCCCAGTCAGCTTTAAGGAAGTTGTAAGACATATGATGATAGGGGGGTTCTGATGATGAAGAAGAATGAGATAATAGTTTTAAGTTAGTTTAGATAAGTCAAGTAAAGAAGGTTTCGGATTCGGGAATGATTCGGGTTGTCTGGAAAACAAGTTGAAAAGTTGACTTTTTGTGTTACAAATTGAGAAAGGCAAAAGTTATAAGCCTTAACGCCTGCTGAGTCACTGACGCTAGAGTCAAACTATTCAGTGCGACAAGGATTAAACTCACCAGCAACAACAATATTGGCTAATGTGTAAAGAGAGAGGGCTTGGTCAATTTGATCAGAAATAACATCAAAAAGAGTGTAGCCTTGAGATAAAGAATAGCGATATATTAAGTAGAGAAAGGTAATAGAGTGAAGTGGTGCTAAACAAAAGCACATAAAAGAATAGTCTGTAGATTCAATCCTAGTTTCCTGACAATTGGGTGAATTTTTACGAATGCAAATGCCCAGGCCAAGCATGTGACTATTGGAGTCTTTACGAATTAAAGGAAGATAATCATCAACACTAAGATTACAAGATGAGACAGACGAACTCTAGTTTCACAAAGAGCAAGTAGGTCTGGTAAACTATACAAGAGAAAAGACTCAACAGATAAGAAGTTACTTCAAAGACCATGAGTATTAAAGAATGATTGGTTTAGAGAACTCAGT